TTTGAATACGGGATGTTTTGAAATCTTTGTCTCTAGATGATCCATAAAAATATCTGATAGCAATGGGCTTAGAGGATTACCCATTATAAATCCTGCACTGTTATTTGTATATATTTTATTATTAAATTCAAAGTAGTCCTGGTTTATGCAAACTTCAAGAAGATGTAATATTTCAGATGTAATTACTGGATTTGTACTATTTTGGTCTAAAAGGTTTTTTACTAGAATAAAAGTTTCTGTAGGAGGGATACTGGGAAAAAGATTTTTTACGTCAAATGAAATTAATCTGGAGTTGTTAGGTAATTGAAAATGTTGTATTTTATTAACTAGTTCTATTGTATTTTTTATGGTGAATTTAGGTGAAAATTTAGTGTGTTCTAAAATAACCTCTAACAGTTTTTTGGAAAGTTTATATGACGGAGCTGTATAAAAAGAAACTACAGGTCTTATTGGGTGATCCGGTTTGTGTAGTTTAATGAAAGAGTATAATTTAGGAGGCTGTATAAATCCAATAGAACAGAAATACCTCAATATCATGAACCCACAGCCTCCTAAATTATACTCTTTTATTAAACTACACAAACCTGATCACCCAATAAGACCTGTAGTTTCTTTTTATACAGCTCCGTCATATAAACTTTCCAAAAAACTGTTAGAGATTATTTTAGAACACACTAAATTTTCACCTAAATTTCACCATAAAAAATACAATAGAACTAGTTAATAAAATACAACATTTTCAATTACCTAACAACTCCAGATTAATTTCATTTGACGTAAAAAATCTTTTTCCCAGTATCCCTCCTACAGAAACTTTTATTCTAGTAAAAAACCTTTTAGACCAAAATAGTACAAATCCAGTAATTACATCTGAAATATTACATCTTCTTGAAGTTTGCATAAACCAGGACTACTTTGAATTTAATAATAAAATATATACAAATAACAGTGCAGGACTTATAATGGGTAATCCTCTAAGCCCATTGCTATCAGATATTTTTATGGATCATCTAGAGACAAAGATTTCAAAACATCCCGTATTCAAACAGTTTTTATATTGGTGGAGATACGTAGACGACGTACTGGTATGTTTCACAGGAACTAACAGGCAACTCGACCAATTTTCATCGTATATTAATTCACTTCATAGTCATATTGAATTTACAATAGAAACAGAACAAAATCAATGCATAAATTTTTTAGATTTAAAAATTAGCAGACTTCAAAACAAACATGACTTCTCCATATTTCACAAACCTACCCATACTGACACGACTATACACAATTCATCATCCCATCCAACACAACATAAACTGGCAGCTTATCATAGTATGTTACATAGATTAACAGAAATTCCGATGTCAAAAGACAACTTTGAGACAGAATTAAATATAATTAAGCAAATAGCAGTAAACAACGGATACAACGAACAAACAATTAATAAAATGTTAAATCAAAAACTACACAAGAAAGCCCTGAAAATAGTATTTCCACCACCAGAGAAAAAACCCAGTACCTTCTGCTCGATTACATATACAGGCAAAATAACAACAAAAATTGCCAAACACATAAAAAAGAAAGGAATAACACCAGCTTTCCGAACAAATAACAACCTAGGTAAATATATTAAAAATAACAAGAGCCAAAATAAAAAACACTTAAATAGTGGTGTGTATAAAATTCAATGTGGCGACTGCCCAAAAACTTACATCGGTCAAACTGGTAGAAACTTTGAGAAACGAATAGCAGAACATAAAAGGGCTTTCAAGAATAGAAAAACAGATTCGACATACGCACTTCACCTTCTAGATCATAATCATTCTTTTAATGACAAATTTAAAATTCTTCACATTCAAAATAAAGGCCTTAAGCTATCTTTGTTAGAATCTATGGAAATCAACAAATTAAAAAACACAGATATAATTCTGAATGACCAACTTGAGACAAACAGTTCTCCCCTCCTCAACCTATTTCATTAGAGACTATAAATTTGTAAACCCAAGCCAAAAATAGATCACTTGAGAAAGGCTATCAGCCGAAACAGCTGTAGTGATAATAGTTAAAATAAATTTTGTGGAAGTTTGAAAACAAAGTTTTCAGTGTTTTATTGTTACGTATTTATGTTTCTAATATTTGACATTATTTGAATTGCCAAAATTTTAATTTAGTGATTTATTGTTTAAAAAACAACATAGTTTATTAAAAAATGTATTCAGTCGAGGAGAAAGTAGCAATAATAAAAATGTTTTATTCTGGCAATAGTGCGCGAATTGTCAGTTCTTTATTTAGCGTAAGATATCCCAATAGACCAATTCCAAGTCACTCAACAATTCTAAGGATTTTAGAAAAGTTTGAAAATACTGGGACCGTGATTTCTAATTGTACCTGTACAAACAATATTGCTGAAGTACCAAAAAATTTAGAAAATCAAAATGAAATAAATGTATTAACAGCAGTTGTAGAAAATCCTAGAATAAGTTCTCGGACCATTGCAGATCAGTTAAATATTCATAACTCTACGGCTTTAAAAATTTTGAAAAGGAATAAATTCCGTTCTTATAAATTCCAATGTCATCAAGAACTAAGAGAAGGAGATGCTGAAAGACGAGCGGAATTTTGTTATGAAATGTTAGAGAGGGCTAATGCAGACAGACAATTTTTAAAAAACATTTTGTTTAGTGATGAATGTACATTTACATTAAATAATGAACCAAATGTTCAAAATTATAGGATTTGATCGACAAAAAAGCCTGAGAATATTATTGAAAGCCATACCCAATATCGTCGAAAAATAAATGTCTGGTTAGGAATATTTAGACACAATATTATTGGACCATTTTTCTATGAGGAAAATTTAAATTCAAAAAAGTTTTTAGACTTGCTACAAGAAGAAATTTTACATAGACTTGCAGAATTAGTTCCAGATGAAGAAAAAAATTTGGTTTCAAATGGATGGCTGCCCTGCGCATAATAACTGGGAGGTTAAGGAATTCCTTAAAAACAGCTTTAATAATTGTTTGATTGGACCTGACTGTAATATTAAGTGGCCTCCGAGATCGGGAGATCTAGCTCCAAACGATTATTTTATCTGGGGGCATTTAAAATCAAAAATCTATTCTGACCAAAAATTTACAGATATTGAAACTTTAAAAAGGCGAATTATTGAAGAGTGTGCAAAAATAACGTCACGCATTCTGGCTAATGTTAGACGAGAATTTTACAATCGAGTGGGATACTGCTTAGTACAAAATGGCTTATTGTTTGAACATTTGTTATAGTTTTATGTTGAAATTATCATAAATTATATAAATTATTATTAGGAAGGATCACAGTAAAACTATATAGAAATTATTTGATTGTTGTATAACCTGGAATTGAAATGGAGTGTATTATGATATCTTGTGTTAAATAAAAATCTGGCAGTGCTCGCACTATTGCCTTATTGCGATTTTTCGTGAACTGATTACATTTCATCAATTTTATTGCTTTGTAAACAGTATAATTTATTGTTTACAAAGTACTAGTTACTGTTCACTAGTAGTAGTATTTGTGAAAACTTATGCATTTTAGTATTTGTGTATGATTTAATCACAAATTAAAAATATTGGCAATTCAAATAATGTCAAATAGTAAAAACATAAATATGACCAAACGCAACACGTCATACACATTCTTGTACCTTGTGTGGCCTGACTTTAAGGGGTGACCTAAAAAATGTATTATATTTTTACAAAATTTTGGGATACATTTAATTCGTAGAACAATTTTAACATTTGTTTTTAATACATATTTTAGTTCTTTACAAATAGTTTCCTATGAATTTTGATGTAAAATAATTAGGGAAGCAGGAATTTAACAATTTAGAATTTTCCATTGAATTTCCTATGGACCGTTTGGCGTTTCACCACCCGGTATATATATATATATATATATATATATATATATATTATATATATATATATATATATATATTATAATTGCGCGAAGCAGATTGTAAGTAGGTATTCTTTTAGTGGAGCGAGTAGTACTCTTCTACAATTCTAGTAGAGCACAGACTACTTTAGAGCGCTTAGTTAACTGCCCTATATGAAGAAATAGGTCCGACCTTTACTCCAGGAAATTTCTAATTATCTCTTTCTTTCCCACACTTCAGACCGGAAAGCCAAAAAACATTTCTGACAAAGGGCAGCAATGACCGTCAGTGCAAGTCATTATGCATAGGTAAAATCCTGAATCGGCTTATTATTATTCTCCTTCTTCTTTTTCGCGTACCGTATCAGATGTTGGCGATTACCATGGCGAAGGTTCTCAATCTTCTGCCACATGGAATAATTGACCAGCAGTTGATACCTGAGTTCATTCATAAATGTTTTTGACCAACAAACCTGTTTTTTCCTGCACCTCTACAGCCTTCTATTTTGCATTTAATGGTCAGCTGTAGCATTCTATATCGATTGCCCCTCATTAAATGTCCCCAATAAGATATTTTCCGGTGTTTAACAGTATCTAGCAATTCTCTATCTTTGTTGATTCTCCTTAGTATTTTCTTTTGTTTTCTTGCTATCCAAGGTATCTTTAGCATCTGTCTATGGATCATTATTTCCAATGCTTGAATTTTGTTTAAGCATGGTACTTTTAGTTTCCACACTTTTGCTTCATACAAACACACAGACCAAATATAGCACTTAACCGTATCATTACCCGTTTCAATTTGTTTTACATATGTTTTTGTCATCAAGTGTCGTCGTTCTACAATGCGCTGCAACCCAAATTCTATTTTGACCTCTAATTTGTCTCATTGGCGTCCTACATTGTTGGTCCGGCTCCTATGACTGTGGATTTCTTAACAATGTCTTTTTGACGGGGTAGGGTTTTACGTAGTACGTGCAATTTTAGGCAATGCCAAAATATAGATAATATATCATTGCATTATGTTATATTTCTATATTTAAGAACGTTGTATTTATTTTGTATCTATTCTAGTTTGTATAAATTTCTAGACAAGCGAAAACGTTCAGTATCACAGTAGTATAGAAATCATGAATTTGAACGTCACGTTTCCTGAAGAAAAGAAAATATGCTTAAAAGATTTCTCAGAATATTTAAATTTGGATAAACACTCAGAGAGAAGCTATCTTCTGGCTGTGGAAAGTTCAGAAATATGGAAAGAATGGAAAAGTATATTTGAAAATGTTACACAATCTCGCATAGAAAGTCGAACAGGTATAGTTTAGAAAATAGTCAAATAAATATTCGATATTAATCATAATAACATTTAGGAACCTTAAAAAAACCTCCACTGCCACTTCCTAGAACTAGTAGCCGTATGAATAGGACAGATAATGAACCGGAAAACCAGCAGTCTTCAGAAACAGATCCGTGCCCTACTAGAGAAATTTACGCAGATCCTCATGGTGAAGATCCAAGTGAAGAGGTTTATGAAGGTACAATATTTTATTATTTTTTTTTATAATTAGCTTATTAAATTAAGAGAGCTTTCATTCATTATTACTGGGTGATCTGCAAAACAGGTCGACTTGTTGCTTTGACTTTTCTATAGAACAAAGAAAGTACATCCTGGTGGTAATTCATTTAGGTAGGCCCTCTTAGTATTTCTATTTCAATAGGTGGTGATGCAATAGGTAGATACTGTTTTAGCTTTTGGGAAAACAACAATGACTGTGCCTCTGACTTCTGTTGGATGATCCCTCGTTAACTAGTTGGAAAACTTGTATGATGTAGTGATTATTCTGGTCATTCTCATTTGAAAATTTTTTAGGGCAGATATTATTTGGATCCCCTTCTTTTGCATAGTAGATCCATATACTTTAAATAATTTTAATTATGTCTTAAACGATATGCTAGGTATGTAAAGAAAACAAATCAGAATACTTTTTCCAGCGTGACCGACGTAATAGTAAAATTTTTAATGAAATTTTCTGTCTGAGTTTATATTGTTACCTCCAGTTTTACCCATTTTTTTATTGATTTTTTTCTCTGTTTTGCTAGTCAAAAAAGTAAATAAAATTGTTTTTGGCTCAGTATTTTGTTACACTTCTTTAAATTACTTTATTCAAACACCAACAATATTACAATACTTCTTGTTTACAACTTTTACACAATGAAAAAGGTAATTGGTGACGTGCAAGTACTTGGATGTGATACGAGAAACGATCGTGCGCGAGTAGCGGAGAAATCTTGCATTTTTTACTGCAAATTTCATAGATTTCATAAATTCATATTGTCAATTGTCATATTTCATATTGGTTTGTTTATTTACACCTTCTGTCACTGAAGAAAATGGGATTTAGGAAATGCTGTGTTATAAATTGTAAAAATACAACAAAAAATTGTCAATTTAAGTTTTATTCGTTTCAAACTTCGAAGCACAAATTACTACAAAGAGAAAAGTGTATTTATATCATAAAAAAGCATAAGTAACATAACCTAAATTATGCATTATTCTTGCGCCCGATTTTAAAGTCAGTTTGAAATAAATAATAAATAAAAGTTCACTTTTAAATGTAAATTTTAGTTTCATAACACTCACTTAGAGTTCATTTTAACCCAAAAATCAAGCTTAATGTTTAAATTTTATTTTTTTGAAGTTTGCAAAAATGCATCAAGTTCAAGTTTTTCTGAAGATGCATTAAGATATATTCGCTGTCCAAAAGTTTACAGGGAACGAATTAATTGTTCAAACCAATATGATGATATCATGGGCTTAACCTGCTAATTTATGCATTAGCATTATTTATGGTAATTTATTTTTCTTAATTCTTCCACATAATTCTTCCATTCTTTTTTGACATTTGCCACTACTAAAGCTTTTCCATTTGACTCAGTGCTTGGTTGAAAAGTTATTTGGTGATTTACTTTCTCAAATCCAGTTTTTATTATTGCATCCATATTAACAGTAATGCTGTAATTTAATAATATATTTATTTGTATTTACACTACATACAACGTTTACCTTTTAATAACATATGGACATAACCTCAATCTTACTTTTTCTTCTTATTCTTTTTTGGGGCTACGTCCTTGACAGTTATCCGGTAACCTCGATCTAACATGAAAGCGCAGTAAATTTTGCTGATTTACGACACCAGGTGTCACTGTTCCGAACTTGCACGGTCCCAATAGGGACTTTTCTATATGGGATAAATCTCATGAATTGTCGTAACAATATGTGTAGTGTAATTATTAATTTTTTGAATACCTTGTTGACATTGTTTTTCCAGGAACACGTAATCTATAAGGACAGCCCACAACAATTTAGAATAAATTTGTTTTACTCGGGAAAGGACCTTGCAAGTACATTTCATAAGCGAAACATTAGATTTTCTTGAAAGATGTTTTTCAAGAAGGTTGGAATTTTTTTAAAACGTCTGCTCTATTCCTTAGTTTTCCTTCAAATACATATTCCCTTAAAATAGTAATCTTCTTCTTCCTATGCCGTCCCCATTAACGGAGGTTGGCGACCACATTTTTAAAAGCTTCTCTGTCTTTTGCAACGTGGAATAATTCGTCTACAGTCATGTTTGTCCAGTCTCGAATATTTCGCAGCCATGACTTCCTTTTTCTACCTATTCCCTTTTTGCCATCGACTCTACCCTGCATGATGACCTGCAGAAGACTATATTTATTATTTCTTAGTATGTGTCCAAGGTATGCAGTCTTGCGTACTTTTATCGTTCTCAACAATTTTTTGACTCGACCCATTCTTCTCAGCACTTCCTCATTGGTGACCCTGGCAGTCCATGGGATTCTCAACATTCTCCGGTATATCCAAAGTTCAAAGGCTTCAATCTTTTTACCTATTTGCGCTTTTAGTGTCCATGTTTCTACCCCGTACAATAATTGCGACCAGTCAACAAACCTCAGTCTCAGCGCAATATTCAGATTTTTGTCACAGAACAATTGTTTGAATTTTAAGAATGCTGCCCTTGCCATTTCTATTCGTATCTGGATCTCTTGGTCTGGATCTAATTCTGTGTTGATGTAAGCTCCCAGATATTTATATTTTGTCACTCTCTCTATTTGCTGTCCACCAAGAGTTAGTTGTTCATTATTTATTGGACTCCTTGATACTATCATAAATTTGTCTTATCTGTGTTGATGTCAATAGTAATATAACATAATATAACAAAACAAATAACAACAAATAACAAAATAACAAAATACAAAATAACAAATAACAAAATAGTAATATAACAACAAATTATCATTTAATTCCTTGATTTTTTTTTTCTTTGCTACTTAAAACATAATAAATCTTTGACATAAATTACTGAATTGTCTATATTTCTCAAAAACTTTAGAGTAATTATGTATGCATAGCTTCCTCTATGATTGTTTAATGTTTTAATCAGTCTCTTCATTCTTCTTCTTTAAGTTCCATCTTAAAGTCTCCAGACCTTCCCTTAAGGTCTCCAACCATTGAAGGTTAAAACTCTGCTATGCGGACATAGGATTTTAACCATATAGGATAACCTATATGGTTAAAACTATACTATAGCTATGCGGACCCTGTTGACTGTCGATCTAAATAGTTCTGGCACTACTACATTCAAACCATTACCTCAAGTTCTGAAGTCATAATATTCTTCGTCCTCTACATTTCGCTTTCCTCAAATTTTACCTTGCATGATAATCTGCAGTAACTACTATCTTTGCTCTCTTATAACATTGCCGAAATACTCAAATGTTCTTCTTTTGGTAGTCAATATTATTTCAGCTTCATTTTTTATTCTTCTAGTAACTTCTGCATCATCCTTTGAGTGCATGATATTCGTAGGATTCTTCTGTAACACGGAAACTCAAAAGTAACCAACTTATTTAGATGCACTTGTTCTAATGTCCATGCTATCAAACCATAAAGAATAGTAGTGAATACGTAAGAACGAGTATTCTTAGGCGTAGTCCTAACCATATATCCCGACAACAGAGAAACTTTTAAAGTTTAACGTTTACATTTGATGTTATCCATGTTCCTAAGTATTTGTAAGTATCCATACTTACAAATACTTAGGAACTACAGTATCCCCAACAATCAATTGGATGCTGGCACCTGCTGATTTAGTCATGATCATGCATTTAGTTTTTGTCAAATTCATCCTTAGTCCGTAGTCATGACAGAATTCATTAAGTCGTTGCATTACGTTCAATATCGTTGTTGGCATTTGTCATTGTTACTGTATCGTCTGCAAAACGTGAGAGCTGAGAGCGTTTCTTTAAATACCGCTTTACTATAGACATTAAATAGTAGTGGTTGTCACGGCGGGGGAACAAATAGCGGTCTGAACTCCTTCTATTGCCTCCGGGTGCTCTGTAGAGGGCTTCGGAGACGTCAACGAAAGCACCTCTACCCAAGTCCATTTTCAGGATATGAACTTGTAAAGTTTTCTCATCTGATGACTCGTCTTGAGAAAGACGAGTTATTTCTTACACGACGAAGATTCTCCGTTGAAATAAACCATCAGGTTGTCTTCTTTGGTGACTTGCCTTGAAAAAGGCAAGTTATTTCTTACATGAACAATATTAAGTTAAAATAAAGTTGAAATAAAACACCAAATTGTAGTAGAATGAAATACTCAGCCACAGAGTATGGAAAGCTAAAAAGGAAGCAGAGCCCCGAGAGCACTAAGCTCTCGGAGAGCCCGTGAAGGACTGACTTGGTTGACCTGAAAATCGCCTATTTTTATACACGCTGAAGTAGCGATAAATAGGGATTTCCAGGTCAGGGACCAATAGGAAAAAATGAGGGGCGGGGCGATGCGTCTCGAGCGCGAACTAGTCGCGTCCGAGAACATGGTGATAGCACGCAACCCTGTCGGACTCCTCTCTGTATTTTAATATCTCGGTTGTCTTAAGTCTCTCCATTACATTGTTCTAAAGTTAAGAATAATAACGCTTATATAGAGTAATAAAGAACAAAACGATAATAGGATGAAAAACAAATTAAAATTAAGTAGCCAAAGAGTTCATTCAATTGTATACGATGATTCTATTGGAATACTGGAATGAATAAAACAAGAAAGTAGAAGTCAAATGATTTAATAGAAATAGAACTATATAATATGCTAAATGAACTACCAGAAAAAAATACAAATATAGAAAAGAAAGTAAAGAACACATCAACACTCGATGAAAACAAAAAGGTTAACGATACAAGAAAGTACAATCGACAACTAAACAAGAAATTAAAAAAAAAACATTTTTTTTCTCTAACACAATTATTTATGTTCATTATCACAGTAGCTCGACAACCCTTTCTGGGTCCTGGCTTGTTCTAGGATTTTCCGCCATTCTGTTCTGTTCCTTGCTTTGTTTTTCCAGTTGGTAATCTTAAGTGTTTTCAGATCTTGTTCCACTTGTTCCATGTATCTAAGTTTGGGTCTTCCCTTTGACCTTCTCCCTACTGGTGTTTGCCTCATTATATGTTTTGGCGTTTCAGTCTCCAACATCCGTTCAACATGGCCCATCCAGCGCAGACGTCCGATCTTTATGGATGTTACGATCTCGGGTTCATTGTATGCTGTGTATAGTTCAAAGTTATATCTTCTGCGCCATATGTCATTTTCTTTACCCCCTTATATATGTGTCTAAGGATTTTTCGTTCAAATGTACCTAATAGGTTCTCATCGCTTTTCGACAGTGTCCACGTCTCTGATCCATATACAAGGACCGGTTTTATCAGGGTCTTGTATATTTTGCATTTGGTTTTTCTTGTGATGTTGTTAGATCTTAGATGTTTAATTAGTCCATTATATGTTTTATTAGCGATATGTATTCTTCTCTTAACTTCTTCACTGATATTGTTATCTGCGGTAACTAGTGAACCTAGATATGTAAAACTTTTCACGCTTATTGGCCTTCATGTATTTGGTTTTTATTTCATTAATATTTAGGCCACTGTTTTGTGCCGCTCTTTCTATCGCATTTAATGCTTCTATCATATCTCTTTCGCTTCTAGCTACGATCTCAACATCATCTGCAAATGCCAATATTTGTACAATTTTTGTTATTATTGTTCCTCTGGTGTTGACCTTTGACTCCGTAATTATTTTCTCTAATGTGATAGTAATGATAATAGAATACAGGATAGGGCATCTCCCTGTTTTGTTCTCACATGAATTGTATCTGTTAGTTCGTTTTGAATTCGAATTTTGCTTTGTACTTTAAGTGTTTCTTTTACTATATCAATGAGTTGAGTTGGAATATTAAACTCTTTCAGTGCATGGATCAGAAATTCTCGATGGATGCTATCATAGGCACTCTCAAAGTCAATGAAAAGATGATGTGTGTCTATATTAAATTCACTAGTCTTTTCCAAGATTTGCCTCAAGACGAAGATCTGATCTATTGTGGACTTCTGCCTGCGGAAACCACATTGATATCCCCCAACTATTTGTTCCGCATATGGTCTCAATCGGTCATACACAATATTTGACAGTATTTTATATGCCACAGTCAGTAGCGTTATTGCCCGGTAGTTTTTGCATTGAAGCTGATCTCCCTTTTTATGTAGTGGGATAATTACTCCGGTATTCCAGTCTTGTGGCAGTTGTTTATTATTCCATATGTTCACTATTAGTTCGTGTATCGCATTCAATAGGGAGTCTCCACCTTCCTTTATTAATTCTGCGCTAATGTTGTCTAATCCAGGTGACTTGTTGTTTTTCAGTCTGGTAACTGCTTCTTGCATTTCAGCTACTGAAGGGGGGGTTGTTTCTCTGGTATCTGTTTGATCCAGTATAATTCCATCATATGGATCTTCGTTTTTTTCCAACTTTTCTTCGAAGAATTCTGTCCACCTTTGTAGTATTTCACTTTGTTGAGTTTTATTATCTCCTTCTCTGTCTCTACACATCATTGTTCTTGGTTTAAATTATTTTCTACTTTTATTAAGTTTTTGGTAGAATTTTCTGTTTTCTGATGGTTTAGATTGTGTATGTTATTACTAATTTTTATGTTATGTTGAGCCCACTACTAGCATATTTTGGCACTTTTTGGCACTGTCCACCTATATTGATATTTGCCTACCTTCAGGCCTGTTGCTGAAATGATTTGGCGTCATCTAAAATTGCTAACGTATTTTAAACTATCTAACTCCATATTTAATCCTTTCACTTCCCAACATCTTGGGTTTTTACTTCCTTCCTTAGTGTTAATTCCTTGAGAGTTCTTAATGTTTTTATTTACAGTAATGTTGTTTTTTTTGTTTCTCGGTAAACTTGCGGCTCAGGATGTAACGATGAGTCCAAGCCATCACCGTTAAACCAGCGTGCGCGCGAACCAACCCATGAAGTAGGAGTGTATCGACAGTAGAAAGGGCAAAACTTTGCTATATAAACCGCATTATTTCCTCATAGAGGCAGAATCGTCAGGTGTTGACTGAAGGTTCTCTTCTCCCCTACCCCGGCTTGTGGACGTGTTGAGTTCACAAGTTGTTTCCGTTCCATACCGCCAGCCGGAGAGCGTGTTGAGCTCTCCATTACCCGTACTCCGAAGCAGTCGTGTTGAGACTGTCGAGGAGTGTCCTATTAACCCGAATCACTTGAGGGACGTGTTGAGTTTCTTTCTTTCCTTTGTACCTATCGTCCGCTGTTATTAAATCGACACATCGTTCACGTAAAATTCCGAAAACACACTTGATTGCCGATAACACTAATTTCATACGACAAGGTCAAACTTAATTTGAATAAATAGGCCAGGTACTGAGAAGACTAAACTAAATTGTAAATATGTACATAAGATTTTTGTCAATTTAATTTAAGGAAGACAATAAAGTTTTATTTTTATTTTGAACTCTGTCTCTGACTGTCCAAAAGCTACCCGGATAGTGACTCCTACGAGAGGACCTCACAAGGATTTACTGAAAAACGTGAGATGTTTCTTATTGATTTAACATTAAAAATCCTTTTGAAGGATTATGATATAGTAAACAAAGCTCTTAACATTAAATTTCAGATAACGAACCAGTTCCTCCTCAATTACCTCCTAGACTGAGTACTCTGGATGATAAAAAGGAAAATTCCCCACCTCTCCCAGCTAAGGTTAAACAACTACCTAGTAGCAAGACAACTGCCGCGGTGACGAAGAGTCAGGTACTATTACTAATAATACCGTTATATATTTCATATTTTTAAATAGGATAAAACCACAATTAATTTTAAAATGAAAATTATATTTTATAATTTTTATTTGACGTTTTAATTTCCTTTTCAAAAAAGGATTATTTCGAAATAGTGAGCTGTTTATAACCAATAGTTTTTTGGCGGCTTGAAAATACACTTAACCAGTGATTAGAAATTGTCGAAGATAATTCTTATTAGAGTTTTTGTATGTCCCTAATTACTATGTAATTACGGTTTTAAAAATAAAAGAATCTTTGTAATAGCAAATTTCATTTATTGTTTAAGTGAGCGATACAATATATTTTGCGGTTTTAAATATAAAATATTCTTTTCAAATTAATTAAAATTGGAATGCCACTACATAGCTGTTTCTACTGTCTACGTGATAAAATATTTCGAGCAACTGCTCGCCATTACATTTGAAACCAGCTGTATAAAATGAAAAACCATTTTTGTATATAATTTTTTAAGAACTCCAAAACAAAATTCCTGAATGCGACGTTCTGCAATTAAATTCGTCATAAAATAATTTGTCATAACATAACATCAGTCATTCTTTTGTCAGCTAATCGGAAGTTGAATATTGTTATCACTGTCTTTACTCTATCTACAGCTGCTCGAAAAATTTCTATTAAACTTTATATAAATCAGTTCCTTAAATTTTTTAATCTTAACATTCGCGTTCTTCCAATATTCATTCTTATTCCTCCTGTTATATGGTCTTGTAGTATCAATCTGAGCAAATCACATTGGTGTCCAATCAATATAGACTATCGGATTTCGATAGAGAAAAGACATAAGAAATCATATTAAAAAAGAAAAGAGTAACCCTAGAGGAACAACTGTTAGTGCAAGATAATCCCATCGAGTGGAAAAGAGAAGCGAAATACCTAGGGGTCACCATGGTTTAAGGCTTAACTTTCACGCAATACGTGGACACAACCATCCACAAAACAGCAATAGCCAGAGCAGCAATAACAGGACTCATAGGTAAAAAAACAAACTGCGCATAAAGATAAAAATGAGACCGATAAACAGCATCATACTTTTAATAATCACATATCTCTCGCATGAGGACACACAAGCAATTAAAATAAAACGAAAATACAAGCAGCTCACAATATTATCCTCATAGAAGCGGCAAATGTAACCAGATACGTTGCTAAACGCTTTCTGTTTAGAGAACTGCAACAAGTAAGGGTGATAGAGAAAATGGACGAGAAAAACAGAATTATTTTTGCAGAATTTTGATTATCCTTTACCGCTTATAAATAAGGAATTTTCATCAATCGACCGAATAGAACAGAACAACTTAAAACGAAATCCTACAGCATACCCAAGGGATAATACGAGGAAAATAACAATACCATACATAACAGGATTATCAGAAAACCTTAAAAAGATAGGAAATAAATTCAACATTTCAACAACATTCAAAACAACAAACACATTGAGATCTATTTTATCTAAAACTAAACCTAACAAAGAACAAGAAAGAACAAAGAATTGTATTTATAAAATAAATTGTGAATGCGATCAGTTTTATTTAAGTGAAACATCAAGGCTATTAAATGTTAGAATAAGTGAACATCAATCTTATATTATAAATAGAGAATTTGGTAGATCTCAAATATGTAACCACGCATGGGAAAACGAACATAACGTTTAATGGAACGATTCTAGTATAGTCTTCAAAGAAACAGATGGTAAAAAGCAAAAAATCAAAGAAGCGGCTCAATTGGATTATGCTAAATGTTCAAAAGAAAATTCAATTTTCACCCAGATTTAGATGTCAGAAATATTATACTGTTCGTATTAATTTTCGCAATACTTCCGTGTTTGTTTTTTTTCTACGTCGACTACGCTAGTCTAAGCATCCTTGTGTAACAACACATTTTAAATGATTATAATGTAGCTTTCAAGTTCATATTGTAGTACCTATAGAAAACACTTAAAATATCAGAGCTCTTACTTTCAGTTCTAATTATTTAAGGTCTTTGTTTCAGAGAATTTATTTTCATTTTTACAAACGCATTTCTTGCTATTTATATGCCGCCTATTATTTCTGTTGTTTGATTATTCTTTCCTTACGGCTTTCAGGAATATTTAATTCATTTCCAAATGTATGTTTGTATATTATCATCATTTTTTAATTTATAAAAAAAATTTTACAGAAGGATGATTTACGTCCCAGATCTTTGGATTTTGGAAATTTGATCCAAAAGAGTCCGATAGACATGAAATACTACGGCGATTTTCAAATGATGGAAAAATTTAAAATCAAGAAACCTTTTAAAATGGAATGTGTAGTGTTTCTTTTTAAGGATATCATCATTTTTACGTTTAATGAAGAGGTAAATTTATATATAATATAACAATAAAACACTGAAAACTTTGTTTTCAAAACTTCCACAAAATTTAGTATAATATCTTAGTTTACAATTTATAGTCTTTAACTAAGTAGGTTGAGGAGGGGAGAACTTGTTAATTTCCATAAATTCTAATATGGATAGCTTAAGGCCTTTATTTTGGATGTAAAGAATTTGAAATTCGTTATTAAACTTACATCGGGCAAACTGGTAGAACATTTAACAAACGTATGGCAGAACATAAAAAGGTTTTCAATAATATAACAACAGATTCTACATATGCACTTTACCTTCTAGATCACATTCATTCTTTTAATGACGATTTTTTGGTGCGGTGTTCTAAATGCAGGTGCAATTTTCACTGGTTAGAAAGTGACAATACCAAATTAATAGCAGAATAGCATGAATAGCAGTCCATACTCCGGAATTGTGTAGCACTGGCCATAACTGAGTAGTTTTAATGGTTAAAAAAACGAGAGTCAAATATATAGTCTGCAGTTAAACATATCAAAGACAAAGATCCTGATAGTGTAAGACTACATATAACAATTATCCACACATATCTACGATTGACCGGTTTGAGATTGTGAGCTCATACCTATATCTGGGATCATTGATCACAAACACAGGGTTACTACATGCAGAAATAAAACGTAAATGATATTTAGCCAAAGGCGCTGTAGAAAATATGGCCAAAATATGGAAAGTCTCCCTAATTTCACGAACTCTAAAAGTGAGGTTGACCAACTGCTTAATATTCTCAATACTGACATACGGATGTAAATCATGGACCCTAATGCAAGCAAAAATAATACAGATAGGCGCCAACGAAATTTTCTATTGAAGAAGAATTTACATAGAAAAAGTAATTCAATTTTAAATGAGCTAAAAGTCACTCTATTTATGAGTTTTTATGAGAGCAAATACAGAAACATGGAAAGACTTGTTATCCAAAAAAAGGTCGAAGATCACGAGGACAATCCCCGACAAGATGGATCGACAAAATTACTGAAATATGCAAAAGACCTATATATGCCACATAAGCAAAAATAAATGACCAGAGACAGGGATATTTGACGACAGACAATACAAGACATCACGATGACCACTACACTTCCTCCGTGGGGTCAGGACTGAAGAGAGATTTCGTTGAAAAAATTCCGTAACTTTATGTCTGCTCAATACTTTTTCATTGGATATATGGTCTCTTCAAATAATTCTGAGTATCGTTCTATATAACCACATTTTAAAAGCCTTCCATATTGTTGGGAAATAATCAACTAAGAGCTTGAGGGTGGCCGCACACAAAAAGATCAAAACTGTTTTAGTCAAAAACGTTTTTATTTGAAACGAAAACGTTTTTGTTTCCACAAGAAACATTTTGTTTTCAAGAGAAACAAAATGTTTGCACAAACCATACTGCAATCAGTTTTATTAAAGATGTCGACAGATAACGACGAAATTGCACTAGTTTTCTGGCAGTGGTTCCACCTACAAGACGAAAAAAACAAAATATCGCTGTTTCCACATGTGCTCCTTGTTGACTATTCGAGCGGTTTCAAGAAGGGAATTCCAAAAACACGTTGCGCCTGCGTACATTGAAATGTTTCGAGACAAAACGACGATCAGGTAATCAACATCAAACAGACTGACTGAAACTAAATGAGCCTAAACATGCTTTAGACACACGACTAAACAGTGTGCGTCAGCTCATTTCATTTATATGGAAACATCAGCATCAAACTCGTTTAGTCAAAAAAGTTTTTGACTAAAACAGTTTTGCTCTTTCTGTGTGCGGCCACCCTTAGGCATAATTCTACGAAACGAAATACTTTATATTATTTTTTATGCTCTAAAGCTTCCGTAATAACAAATGCTAATATTTTTTCAGGTATCTTCTCAATCTAAATTTTTTATTAATGATAATAAACAGCCATATTATTGTTATTACGACTGTATTTTTACTAAAGATGTAAGAGTGTGTTGTTTAGATGATCATACCCTTGAACTTACGGATTTTACAAAAATAAATGAAACAAAAAACGCTGCCAAATATACATTTATTTTGGAATCAAAGAAAAAGGGCATCATACAAAAATGGAACTCTGCTATTGAAGACATATTGTGGTATGAGTGGAAGGTTACCAAAGGTAAGTGATTTGTTAGAAAGTTTACATGAGATTAAAAAATCAATGCCTTATTCTAATACGCCCCTAATATAGAAACAAATAGAATTTGAAAGTTAAAGTACGGAGTCGACTTCGAGCGTTCAACGAAGCAACACCTAATTACCTTAATCGCACCTAGTTTTTGTGGTTTTGTTTAAAAACATTGAAAGCTAAAAGTGTAATAAAGTGTAAATTATTAACAAATAATTATTTATTGTTGATACTGTTGACATTAACTGTAAGTAATTTAATTTATCTAATTACATCGAGTTATTATCAATGATTTCGTATTGGTGCCAGGACCGTACTCAGGTTCCGTAGATCAACATGAAACAAGCTTCATCATCAAATGTTTTTTCACAACAAGAAATCCCCAAAAATGATACTACTGCACCAAAGTTATATTCAACAGTTTTAAATGAACCTACCAACATATTTCCTTCCAAAAAACAAGCAATTGTAGTAAATACAGTTCCAAATTCAAAAATCGAGGATTACCTGAATGCTGTAGCCAACTTAGTTGACCCCAAAAATATACTTGCAATATCCAGAATTGTTAATGATCGTATATGCATCTACTTCACTTCGGAAAATATTGTTCAAAAATTTTTGGAAACGGATAATGGGATAATAACAGTAAACCAATATCGTATTCAAGCTAGAAAACTAATTACTCCAAATGAAAAATTAATTATTTCTAATGTATCTCCTTCTGTACCACATAACATAATAGAAAATGAACTCAAAAAGATAGGAATCCATCAAATAACACCAATAGATTTTTTACGGATCGGAACATCAAATCCTAGTTTTAGGCATATCATTAGTTTTCGACGTTTTACTTATATAGCCCCTACAAATCTTGAAAATATCCCCGATTCAATACTAATTAACCATGATCAATCGAACTATCGAATATTTCTCTCACTAGAAAAACAAACGTGCTTTATTTGTAAACAAACTAATCATTTAGCATCTCGATGCCCAAATCATAATAATCAATCCACTGATGACAATATAACACACATTTCTCAATCACAATGTGACCAGACTGTTAGTTCACAACAAAATACAACTCAATCTACAGTACATTATCCCGTACTTACCAAACAAATCAGTAATCCACAACCTACTGAAACCATCACTTCACCCACACCAATAAACTCCACCTTTTTCGATAACTCCCAACCAATGGAGGCGGTATCGGGTAAAATAAATGAAACTCTAATAGAGACTCAAACAAAAGTACAAATACCCGAGACAAATGCTTCTGAACCTGGTAAAATAAATAGAACTATAAATGAAACTCAAACAGAAGCTCAAACACCTAAAAGAAATGCTTCTGATATAACAAATTCTCCTGAACCGGAGGGTGTAAATCCTTTTAAAGAACCCAATACAAAACACAAAAGAACAAAAACGGATGTCCAAACACACCACAACATAGCTGAAGATATTACTAACTGTACAGTTGATTTTTTTCAAAATAAGTACAGTAGCTGTTTAAGTCTAGAAGAGATAATAGATTTATTTGAAAACACCCATAGAGCTGCAGATCCGCTTAGTATAGCTAAAACATACACGGAAGATATCGAAGGGTTAATAGATCTCCTAAAAAAACTTCATCCAGTACTATCACAAAGATACTTGAAAACACGATGTACAAGACTAAGGAAGAAACTTTGTAAACTACTGGATGACTATTCCTCTACAGATTGCAGCGATACGGCTATTAATTAAAAATTCAACTCCATAATTCAGTGGAATCTGAACGGGTTTTACACCCGTCTAGAAGTATTTAAATTACTAATGTCCAAATTCATACCGTCCATAATATGTCTACAAGAGACACATTTTAAACAGCAGAAATTTTACAAACTAAAAAACTACACACCATATATTACAAATAGACTTAATACAAACCAGGCTAGTGGAGGGACAGCTATTTATGTACATAACCAATATGATTCAGAAATAAAAAAACTCCTTCTCACTTTCCCCACAATCAACCATATTTTCCGCAGAACTTCTTGCTATTTTGCAAGCAATAACATTTGTGAATAATAAAAACATAAAAAACCCTTTGATAATAACTGACTCTTTAAGTGCTCTCAGCTCTATGAAACAGTTATACACAAACCATCCCATTCTATTGCTTATAAAGTCAGAACTAATGAGATGTCAAGAAAACGACCGATTTGTTAAATTCCTTTGGGTTTCATCACACTGTGGTATAACTGGAAACGAAAAAGCCGATCAGTTGGCCAGGGAAGCAGCAGAAAATCCACAATCAACATTATTCACTAAATGCGTTCATAGCGACCTGAAGCAATATATTAGAAACAAAATAAGCGAGGAATGGCAACTACACTGGAACAATTCAGAGACATCCATGAAAAACATTAAGCAAGAGGTAGCTATATACAAATTCCCATTCAAGCGACGAGACCAAGTGTGCATCTCTAGATTACGTATAGGCCATACGAAGTTAACTCACGATTACCTTCTAAGTAATGAACAAATTCCCATGTGCTACAGTTGTGATTGTGTAATTTCAGTGGACCATGTGCTAGTGGACTGCCCTTTGTACACCCTAGAACGACTTCAAGATGGATTACCCACTTCATCCAAAGAGTGCTTAAACGGCTTCAATAATGATAAAACTATAAACTTTTTACAAAATACAGGACTATTTCACAAAATATAGAGTAACATATTAACATTTATGTAATTTATTGTACCATGCTAATAACCCCTAGTGGTTGAAGCAATTTTGTAAATAAAAAAAAAAAAAAGTTAAAGTACTTTAAATGCTATGCTTATATGGGAATAGGGAAAAACGCAAAAAAAAACGGAATTTCGAGGCTTGAAAACTCATACGCAAATTATTATTAGTCAGGTTGTCAATTAAAGTTTAGACATTCAGTTTCAAGATTATAAATAGCAATCGGAGTTTATGTTAATTTAAACAGTTGATTTTTAATTATTAAGGATAGGCCTTTACTTGATTTTTAATACCGTTCATACAAAATTTTCCTTCGCAACCATCAGAATTTTCTGTCAATACTCAGAAACAGAAGAAATATTGACAGATCATAAAATTTTTTTTAAGATTTATATCTATTACCCCACACCAGAGAACTGCATTAAAACACTATCAAGATAAATAAAGATAACTTTTAAAGATAAGAACTTACAAAATAGAGAAAAAAGATGAACAAAATTTATTTATCAAGTACTCAAATGGCACTCCTAGAATGATGACAATAAATTAAGACAGTCTTTATATGGACTGTGGGTTTATTTTCAAAATGTAAGAGGTCTAAGAACTAAACTCAACAGTTTTTTTAAGAATGTTATTCTCATTACACTCTCTTCATATTCAACGAGACTTGGTTGTCATTTCACTATGCTGATGAAGAACTGCAGTTATCTGACGTCAACATATATAAAACTGAACGTTCATTTTCAAGAGTTGGTGAAGTCTCTATTGCAGTTCATACTTAAGCAGTAGAGCTTAAGCAGTAGATCTTTAACAGTTAACCAGGCAATCGAACAACTTTTTGTCTTGGTGACTGAAGGTGCAGATTAGTTTATTATGGAACAGCATATTTTGCGCCAAATTCTACATTTGAGAAATATTTCATATTTTGTGAAACCGTACAACAAATAGCTGAAGTTTATCTATCTGCACACTATGCACAGTGCAAATTACATGTGCTCTACAACAATTCCTCTACCATTTGCCACAGCATCTGAAGTTGAAGCCTTGCAGGTTGAGTCTGGTATATGTGCATACTACAATTTGTTTCAGTCCAATACTACTGTGAATTTAACTGGTAATATTCTCGATTTTGTGCTTGTTGATAATGCTTATGTAACTGTGTCCAGGACAGATGAAGCTCTTTTGAGGGAGGATGTGCACCAACCACTCCTGTAATTTGAGATAAAGATGACCAAAAGGTGCCACAATAATAGTGGTTTGGTTAGTGATGGTTTTTATAGGAACTTTAAGTCGGCTGACTATATGAAAATAACTGATTTGTCACATTTCTGTTGGAATAATTTGGGACAAAACCACTAAATCAAATTGTGAATATTTTTTATGATATAGTTTACTTAGCTATAGAATTATTTATCTCCCTAAAAATGTATTTAAAACTTAGATTCCTTCTTGGTTCTTTCCAAAGTTGAAGGACTTAATAGTAGAGAATAAAAAGTTCACAAAAAATATCTTTTATATAAATCACGTCTGGATTATCGCACTTTTTCTCAGCTGAGTGCCGACTGTAAATTGTTAAAATCTGAAGACTACAGAAATCATATTTATTTAACAAAATTATCGCTATGAAATAATTTGAAGGGATTCTGGGTCGTTTGTGAATTCATGAAGGGGAAAACCGTCCTTGCCCGCGTTGAATCCAGTAACAGACCAGATATTGTAAATCTTTTGCAGAATATTTTTCTATAGTCGATTCCACTCAAATATGTGAAATACCTTTACTTGGTCTTACTAACTTAACTGGTTTCAACATAACTATGTCTGATATTCAACATAACTATATAGAAATTCAGGTTTGTTCGATTCTAAATCTTTTACTTAGAGATTAGATATTAGATTCTTAAAATTTACATACAGCTTTTTAACAGCATTTATTAATAATAAAATTTTATTAAACTTTCAGAAAATGCACAAAAACTAATCAGAAGTAAAACATCTGTATCAAGTTCGAATAAAGTAAGTTAAGTTTTCAATTAATTTTTTATTATTATTACCATTGCTTAATTTGAGTGAATATTATAAAGTGGCATTATAAATACTACTATCTTATTTTCAAAAAACATAGCCTATCTACATGAACTGATGAATAATTCGACATTCGAATACCATAGGTATAAGCAGTTTTGGAAGTTGAAAAGTGCAGATGGGTACATAAAGCTACCGCGATGTCGGGACATATTAAACATCCACTTAAAAAAGACATGCCTTAGTGTAAGCTGCAGATCTAGAACACTGCGAAACAAAAAAAAAGAAAAAAATCTGCGGCATTCATTTTGTTAATGGTTCTTAATAAACACTTGTTTCAGATATACAAAGTATGCATTTACTCTTTTAGATTGACTCTGGTTTTTGAGATATTCGAATTATAAGAAATACATGAAAAAATTTAAATTACAATCGTATAGTTGTATTCATTGTATTATTCCCAACTTTACTAATATATAGAGAGGGCAAGTTATTCATAAATGCATGCTTGTTGTTATGCAAAGACTAGGTAATTTGGGATTTGCGGCGTACTTAAAAATATTAGCCAGCGGATGGTTCGCGGTGGTAAACGGTTAACAGGTGCGGCAACTCTGTATGCAACACGTGCCAACCCAGTCTTTACGACGCGCGCATAGGTCTTAGTTCATTTTTAAACGTAAACAACGGTGGTTTGTTCCCAGATAACGTCGTCGACACAAGAAAACCGGTTAACTCCAATTTTTACTTAAAATGAGATTTCACTGCCAACTTTTAGAAAATCGCCTATTCTAGCCATCCGACAAATAATACGTCATTTAAATGTAGATTTCTAATTTTAAAAAGTTTACTAGAAAAGCAGGTATCTCCCTTGTCAAAAAATTATGTTTGTAAAACACGTAACTCCGCGCATTTTCTGTTAGAGTGATTATGGCCGTTGATTTGATTTGTTTTTTTGGAGGGATTTGTTGTTTTGGAACATGCTTTTAATAAGTTCTAGACATAGACATGGACAGAACAGAGAATGAATATCAAAACGTTGGTAGTATTTGAAGCACCAAAATGGAAGAGGGATAGAAAAAATGAAGATGTATCACGGAGGTCTAAGACATTAAAATATTATTTGAAAATTGGAGAAGATAAACGAATGGTATGCAAAAAAATGTTTTTGTCAACTCTGGGCCTTAAAGATTGGTTTGTTATGAATTGCAAACAAGAAGATGATTCTGCTATTACAGAAAATTTGGATAATGAACCACAACAAGCGCCTAAAGGACTTCACAAGAAGGAGTTGGACAATCGTTATAGTTTTTTAGATAGCCTGCCGAAAATGGAATCGCATTATTGCAGGAAATCAACTAGTAAATTATATCTAGAACTATTATGGCAAAGCAAATGTCAACTTTACCATATTTACAAAACGGAATGGTACCTAGAAAAACGAATCAACAGTCTCTCTTTATCTTCTTTTAAAAATGCTTTCCTGGAAAAGAGGTTGGCTTTGTATAGACCAAAAAAAAATTTTTGTGTGAAATATGTGTCTTTTTTAAAACAGGAAATATTGATCAAGAAATATTTAGTGAACATTAGTTGAAAAAACAAGAAGAGAAACTTGAGAAAATTAAAGATAAAAACAGTGAAAGCATTGTATTGACAATAGATTTACAGGCAGTCTTTATATGTCCTAAGTCCAATGTTTCTTCCCTAAGTTAATAAAATGATAAAAAAGTTGACAATCCACAATTTCACATTCTATAACTTACACACAAAACAAGGGCATTGTTTTCTTTGGGATAAGTCGGAGGGGAATCTTACCAGTGCCGAAATTGCTAGTGTGATCGTATGTATTTTAGAAAAATATACTGAAGGGAGTTGTCTTGAGGAAAATGTACGTGAAATAATTATAGCGATGGGTGTACTTACCAAAATCGTAATGTTACTCTAGCTAATGCAATTTTAAACTTTTGTTTAAAGCAGAAGGTAACAGTTATACAAAAATACCTTGAGAAAGGGCACACCCAGATGGAGGCCGACATGATGCACAGTACAATTGAGAGACAATTAAGAGGATGCGATATTAATGTGCCTGGTGATTACATACAAATATGCAAAAGAGCGCGGAAGGAAAATCTATTTGTAGTAACTCGACTATACCATGATTTTCTTAAGGACTTCAGAGCAGTAAACTATGTAAGCAGTATCCGACCGGGTAAAAAAGGGTGATGCAGTTGTGACAAATATTAGAGCTACAAAATATTCACCACAAGGTATTCATTACAAGTTGGGATTTGGTGAAAATTTAATTGAACTGCGTTGTCGAATAAATCAGAATGTGATACCCAAGAATTTCGCAGATCTGCCGAAGCCTTAACAAATAGAATACCATTAAAAAAAGACAGATTCGAACATTTTTTAGTATTTAAAAAATACGCTTGATTTCGATTACCACTCATTTTATGTCAATCTCCCTTACTAACTTTAACTAATTTATTTTAGATTAAAATTTTATTTATTGTTAAAAAGTGAGGCTATTTATTTCTAACGTAGGTAATAAAATAACACTAAATTTTATGTTAAACGTTTTTCAAAAGTATTGGTCTGTATTTCATTATTAGGATATTTTTATGTGTTTCAGATATGTTTTTATAATTCGATAACTAATGCTTTTTATTAATTTTTTCCAATCCAGCGTTACAAAAAATGCCACGTAACTCCATAGGCACGTCTCATTTCAAAAGAAGAAAAACCTGTAACTCCATATTTTCTGTATTTTTAGCTATATCTGCTAGATTTTGAAAATAAAATTGATATAATTCAGCTTAATATGACCTAAAAACTCAAAATATAGTTGTTTAATCGTCCTTCTTTATCAAATAAAAGATATCAGTGAAAATGTTACTGTTTTTAGGCTCTCCTGAAAAATTAAGGAAAATGGAGTTACGAGTTTTTCTTGTGTTGACGACGATAAGTTTTGTTTTCTATTTACATAGCTATTTTACCAATTAGGCATTAGACTTTGAAGTGATTAGTTAAAGTACGTTTAAAAGTTCGTTTTTTTTAAATGAGTTCGTCACGTAAACCTTGTGTTAATGACCCCAACAGTTTTTGTTACATATGTGGCAAATTTTGTTTACAAAATCAAAGAAAAAAGATAACAGAGTTTGTGAAACAAACCTATGTAGCTTACTTTGGGATACATTTTACGCAAAAGAATAAATATTGGGTTCCCAATATCGTATGCAAGTCTTGTATAGAATCTTTGCGTTATTGGAGCCAAGGAGGACGTAAAGGGCTTCCATTTGGAGTGCCGATGATGTGGACCGAGCCAACCAATCATTTGAATGACTGCTACTTTTGTGCAGTGAAAGTAAAGGGTATGAACCGGCACAAAAAACGTACTTGGGTTTATCCTAATGTGAAATCTGCTAAACGCCCAGTATTGCACAGCGATGATTTGCAAATTCCAGTATTTTCAGGGCCATCTACTTCAAACGCTGCTGATGTTGAAATATTAGAGAAATCAGTAAATCAGACGGATAGCAGTGAAAGTGAGTTCGAAGAAAGTAGTTCTACGAAACATGGATTTTCTCAGGAGGAGCTCAATGACTTGGTGCGTAATTTGAATTTATCAAAAAAATCGTCTGAAATTCTGGCATCCAGACTAAAAGAAAAACACTGCCTTCAACCGGGTGTTACAATTACGTCCTTTAGGAGTCGAGAACGAGACCTTCTTCCTTACTTTACCGAAGAAAACAATCTCATATTTTGTAACGATGTTGCTGGACTCTTAAGTTGTATGGGCCTTCCCGAATATAAGCCTGAACATTGGAGGCTTTTTTTAGATAGCTCGAAAAGAAGCCTAAAATGTGTATTGTTGCATAATGGAAATACATTTGCTTCGCTTCCAATCGGACATACTACGAAACTTAAAGAAGAATACCAAAATATTAAAATTGTTTTAGAGAAGATTTCGTATGCACAACATCAGTGGTCAGTATGCGTGGACTTGAAGATGGTGAATTTTTTATTGGGCCAGCAAGGTGGTTATACTAAATACCCCTGTTTCATATGTCTATGGGATAGTCGTGCAAAAGATGAACATTGGGTTAGAAAGGACTGGCATTTGAGAGAAAATATGGAGGTAGGAAAAGCAAATGTGATTAATAAACCACTGATAAGTCGAGAAAAAATCATTCTTCCACCACTTCACATCAAGCTTGGACTAATGAAACAATTTATTAAAGCCCTTGATAGGAACGGTAACTGTTTTAAATATGTATGTCAACGATACCAAGGTCGATGGGACATCCACATGTTAGCAGACTACTGCTGGACCTTAAAAAGGGATTGTCCTGAGCAAACACATAGTAGAAAAAGTTACAGAAAAAGTTTTTTTAATCGTCTTTATCTCAAAAACTGGAGCCAACTTAACAAATCTGATATTTTGCACGCTGTCAGCACATTGTTCTTATAGAAAATTGACTTTAACCTACTATGCCGCAAAATGACTGTTCCCCAGTGGAATTTTTAAAACCTACGTAGGACCAATAATAATATGAGCCAAGCAAAAAAAAACAGAAGTATGGTATAATTGGATACACTCTAAAGTACAGACGAAGGAACACATAAGGAAAAAGATCCAAACTGACTACACAGTAAAATGCATAAGAATGACCACCAGTATATATCCACCGACTTCTAAACTATGAAGCTAATTAAAAATGTTTAGGACAACGATCTCTACTATTAAGCTTATATTATATTGTTATTGTTTATATACAGAGTGGCCCAAAAGTCTGGAAACGGCCAATTATCTCGTAAATTGCTAGTTATAATTCTACAAAATTTGAGGTACACCTATTTTGGGATAGGGAGATTCCATATTTGATATTTGCAATGTTGCCAGATCGTTTCTCTTATGTTATTAGTAACTTTGGTTTTTTAAATGCATCACCCTGTATGTTTAGTCATTATTGGAATCTCCTATTCAATAC